AATAGAGAGAGATAGCGTACAACTCCTCCTCCCAGCCCCACCGCCCCCCGCTCCAGCAGGCAACAGAGAATGTGGGTGTGTGAAGACTCCAAAGGAAGCTGACAAACTCTTAAATTATTATTAGACTCATTATTAGACTCAGTTGTCTTCTCTCAAACTGTAACATATCACAGAAACCGAAGAATTAACATTATTTAATTTAAGAACCCCTCCTTTGTCTGTATAACAGCTGGACTAAGCAGCACTGTCATTCTCCCGTGCTCAGCCCACTTTCCTGTCTGCTTTTCACACCTCCCTATCAGTAAAGGCAGAAATGCAGAAAAATCTCAGACAGTTTTTTTTCCCTGTATAATGTTATTAAAACATGCTCTCTGACGGTTTGAGTGCTTCTGACAGAATCATCTTGGTTTTATTTATTTATTTATTTATTTTACTAAACCTCTTCTTACACAGAAAAATGTTCTGCATAATGAATTGTTTGTTTTTATTCAGACTGGGAGGCTGCCGTTTGTCAGAGAGCAACTGTACCTCTCTAGTGTCAGCGCTGAAATCCAACCCCTCACATCTAAGAGAACTAGACCTGAGCTCTAATGACAACATGCAGGATTCAGGAGTAAAGCAACTGTGTGGTTTTCTGGAGAATCCACACTGTCGACTGGAGACTCTGAGGTTGGACATCATGTTTTAGTTGTGCTGAGATGAATATGATGTGAAAATTTGCACTAAATTGGAGATGCAATTTAGAACGATCAATTCATAATTATGTCTGAACATATTACAAAACACTGAATAAGTTTAAACAACGGTTTTGGTTACATTGTTTTTTGTTTCCAATTGTATTCAGATTGGAACGCTGCGGTTTGTCAGAGATCAGCTGTGCTGCTCTTGTCTCAACTGTTAAATCCACACCCTCCCATCTGAAACATCTGGATCTGAGTGAAAACAGGAACCTGCAGGATTCAGGTGTGGAGCTGCTGTGTGGTTTTCTGGAGAGTCCACACTGTATACTGGAGACTCTGAGGTCA